TTTCACAGGTGCCAATTGTCTACCAAAGAGAGGGGTAATGCCAACTATAGTATCTAGTTAAGAGTATATGAGTTATTCATAGCTTACTTTTGGATAGTTAAGGGTTCCGTTTGGTTGAGTTTGGAAATTCCGTGGGTATATTCCGAGACTTTACCGTTGCTACTGATAAAGTTCGTGCTAAATTTAGGGAAATGGCATAATTGTGAAACCTGAAGTAATTTTAGGTGTCATATGTCGTTCTGAGTGTCAACTAGAGGTCCACCTCCCTCTAAAACGTCCATTGACAGTACTGACAGACCAAAATTAGCGAAGAGGAAGACCCAGGTGAATTTTTATTTATACTTCGAATCTAGTGCCTAGGTTCGATACACAAAAGTCACTATTTCAGGTTTATTATCCAATTAAGGTCTAACTGAACAAGCTTTGTTCTGAGAAATGATACTATTATCACACAAAAATGTCCAAGCCTGAATTTGAGGCTGCGTCTTTTGGTGGGTTATTTGCACATGGTGTTTCGTACATTATTTGACCAGGGGCTCTCTCCACATTATCATCTCCTTTACATGCAGAATATAGGGTTGAAAAGTCTTTGCCGCGTGCATCTAAACAGCGTTGGACGTATCATAGAAGAGCTTGTATCCATTCTTGTTTTAGGACCACTTTAGCCACCAAAGAAGGGAGTGTAATAGCTTAGGTTGATTGGTTAAGAGTTGACCTCAGACAGCTAAGTATATATCGAAACAATAGAGTTCAAGTATTCATTCACCACCTTATTTTGTATAGGCTTTGGATTTCCTATTATCTTATAGAGAATGTTGAGAGGCTTTTTTGTTTTCATACTGTTTCGTACATAAGGATTGTCTGATCTAATCCGGCTAGTGATTGCAGGGGTTGTTGAGCACGGTGTTCCCACTTGTAATCTGGTGCGGATGCATGACGCATGACGCGTGCATGCGCCTTCAGCTAGGTGAGTCTATTAAAATTGATGTGGTCAGCATCCAATGTCGAAGATTTATAGAGCTATTGATTTTGAGGATTTATTTACTGCTACATATTAAATGAAGAGACATCTGTGGACTATCGTCGATTGCTGACGGAATTAGTCGTCGTTGATTGGAAGTCAAACAGTCAGCGAGTTGTCGAATCTCCCTTGGGCTGTGGAAGCAGAACCAAAGTGTTTTTGATAGATAGGTTAATCGAACCGACGTTCCTATGGAAATCAATTCTAGGGAGAAGCTAATGTAACAGTTTAGGTTGATTGGTTAAGAGTTGACGTCAAACAACTAAGTATATGTCGAAACAATATTGTCCAAATATTCATTCACCACCTTATTTTGTATAGGCATTCTATTTTCTATTATCTTATAAAGAATGTTGAGAGGCTTTGTTTGCCTAAACAAATAATCCCACGCTCGACTGTGACTGCGCGAAAATCTAAATAAAGACCTACCTATAGCTCGAGGGTTACCTACAGGCGCGAAAGGAGCACAGAACATAAATTTCCTCATCAAATTCCCTCAGACCTTACATTGTGGTTCATTTAATATAGTTTCGACTGAGTTAAGCACAACTTATAGTCACTGTGATCAATTTCTAAAAGTTAGAATTACTTAGTCACAACATTGTCTATCTCTATAAGTAACAGTTTGTGCTTATCTTCCTGGTTGTCATCACTCATTCAGTTTAACCCTTTATGGTATACAATAAATATCTTAACAAAATATATGCGGGGGAAAAATTCAGTATCAAAAAGAAAGGAAAAATATAGGTAGATATTTTGTATTTATTTCGGAGAAAAAATATACCAGCTTAAGTTATCTGTACAAGAGAATGTTAGTGTGCACATAAAACAGAACTTTTGTGTTCGAAGAACAAGCTCACTAGTTGTTGTACCCCCTTTTGAGTAGATATATAGAAGAGTTTGAGATGACCGTGGTAGGTTTGTTACACAATGTGTGGAACATATAAAACGCGACACCTTAATCTGAACGGACAAACCTCTCACCATCCAATTTCCAAACAAGAAATGTAGTGCCAGCATACAATAATCAGTTAAACAACTGGTTTGCTAATAATGACTTAATCCTTATAGGAGTTTGTCGAAAAACTCTTAACCACCTAACTTAGGTAGTTAAACTTTTTCATCAGTCAAGAGAATCGTTCATACTTTTGGGCTCACGAGTATGATAAGTGGCCAACAAATAGAGTAGAGAGATTATGTATAGAACACCCCAACGTTATGCTACGACCTGGGTAAATGGTAACGAAATGCATTCCAACAGCAAAAACAACCGTCGACAACAGTTAATTGTCAAATCATGTGACACGACTCTCATCAAAAACGGTCACACAGTGTCCGAGTAATGAGAAGGTAATCAATGGAAAATTCACTCTGACTAGTATAAATCCCACACTTCTCTCCTAGTTTGCCACATTCAATGCTTGAGCGCCAATAAAGTACAAGTGTTCAAGTCTCAACAAAAGCCAACGTATCAGCACCCATAGAAGGTAACTCGAAACAAATAAATAAGGACCAATTGTTTCGGTACGTTATGTCCTTTGGCAGATTTAGTTATCTAACAGCAACCTTTATTACGCAACATGGAGAGGAAGTGAAGTTAGTTGACCCTAGTCAAACACACATAAGAAAATCACCATCCAATAGAGTACAATGAAGAACATGTTGTGGTGAAGGAGAACACAGGTGAGGACAACCGAATTATATTTAGCACAACATTACAGAGTTAGCTGGTAAAATAGAAAAACCATACTACAATACTTAATGTGCAAAATGTTCAATAATTGTTTCGAACTTCATTGTTATTGCATTTCCATACTGATTACTTTCTATTCCCGCTCTTTCTTTCTTGATCTTCCCCATCTTCTGCTGCCAAACATTACATTCTTGACTCGCATTATGTGCTACTTACATTAATATAAGTAGCACGCACCATAATGTTACTGTCGTAAAATAAGATAGTAACGGATTTTGAATACGTTTACCAATACTTTTATTCTAGCATCAGGCACGGTTGGTACTTAGCTCCCTACCTTTTGCAGCCAAAATGGTTCTTAATAAACGATGCAAAACCTGTTAGTTATATGGATAAATGTTAAATTCGTAAGTGCGCATAATATGTATGTGTTGTCACTTAAATCCTAATTTATTTCTCCTTATCAGATTCACACAACACACTGCATAATAGACGACTACACCCAAGAGAATACTTACTATTTATCCAAGTAGGTCAATTACAAGCATGACCAGATTGCTTCTTACAGGGTTCCTATCTATAGTTGGTTTATGAGTATTTTTTCTTGTACATGTTAGCCAAAATGAATAGTGAAAATCACTTCCAAATAAATTTGAGTTGAGTAACCCATTTTATTTCACCCACATTTTCATGCTCCTTTAACAGTGAAATTTTATTTGCTGAAACAATCTCATAAAAAATCTCATGCAAAATGATTTTTTAAGTACTTCTTTTACCCACTAAACGAACGGGATTATACATTATATGACACCGTTTGCATGGCAACATGATTATTAAAGATAAAATAACCCAACCTACACATTTTTAACGACTAACGTGATTTTAAGTCCTTAGCGGGTTGATTTTAGCTTGAATTTAGGTTGCGTCATGAGGCACTGTGAAGAATAGTGGTTGTGAGAAAATGTGAACGATAAAATAGTGAGAAAAAAGTAGTACAACGACTGAGCAAGCACAAAAATTCGCTTAACTTCTATGATGGTTCAAATGGTTCAAATGATTGTGGACGGAATTGAAGAAGCTTTCGCTTAACAGGCTTCCATGTCTAGTAACAGGGGACCACCAAATCCTCCAGACAGGAACCTAGGTGTACCAACAATAAAAGAGGAAAAAGATATTGGTAAATCATAGTGTGTTACTATTCTTAATCCTTAAGAATAGATCAAGTTGCCTCTTAAAGGAATCCTAGAAAGTCGCTTGGACTAGCTCGGCTGGCTGCGAATTCCAGCATTTGACAACTCTTAAGGAGTAGAAGTTGTGTCTACAGTCCTTTTTGATATATTGTGTCTCCAGTTTTTGGGTGTTACCCCTTAGGTTAGTGTTGGAACTTAGCTTAACCAGGTGTTTGAGAGCGTGTCCAGAAGTGTTAAGGATACTGTAAGCCATATGAAGGTCACCTCTAAGACGCCTTTACTTCAACGGATAAAGGCTGTGATTGGAGGCGCTGTTCATAAGGTTTAAATCTGAGTCCTCGAACTGATTTCGTGGCTCGCCGTTGGATATGCTACAAAGTGTCCTTATCCTTATGGAGTGAGGGAGGAAATATTATGTTTCCGTACTCTAAATGGGGACGAATAAAACTATTGAAGTTCTTCCGTCAAACTGGCCAAAAATGCGCTTCAGTGTTACCAGTGCAAGGTTTGCTCGGAAGGCATTTGTGTCACAGTTAACGTAATAATTTAAATCGCAGGGCACCAGGACTCCTAAATCTTTTTCGACTCGGGATACTACTACAGAGGAGTTTCCCAAGTTATAACTGTAGTCTTCGACATATCACAGATGGACTACTTTACACTATGAAGTGTTAAAGGTAAGACCGTTATCGTCTGCCCAAATTTGAAGTCGAGTCAGATCCTCTTGAAGTGCCTGTATATCGTCTTGGTTGCGTATCTCTCTCCGAAGTTCCACGTCATCGGCAAGAAGTAATAAGTCTGACGTTTCCTGTTGGGGAAGATCACTTATTTAGATCAAGAAGAGAAGAGGTTCTAGTACTGAGCCCTGGGGGACCCCACTAGGACATTCCATAGCCTGAGATAAAGTGAAATTAACCCTGACCTTAAAATGTTGATTTTTCAGGTATGAAGTTAGCCAATCGATTAGAGCGATCGACGAAAATCAGCATTGACATCAGTATCATATTCGGACGATCTGATTATCAAGACTAGGTAGCGTTCAGTCTTTTTGCGCTACAGTTGAAGGTCGCTCAAAAGACTACTACTATCTAATGGGCCAATCAGACTACCGGCCGTTATAGTTTAGACGCGCTACCTATAAGTGGTCGGAAACAAGGGGTTTGTGTGGATAAACACAGCAGAATCAAACTACATCTAAGGTTCCGAAAAAAATTCTTCGAAAATAATCATGAGGTTTGATAAACTCTTTTCATAGTTTCTGTTCAACACTAAATACAACTCTTTACAGATGGAAAGCTATGCTGCAAAACAATCTTATCCTTCTGTCCACTTTCCTAGGAATTGCAGTAGGGATCATCCTGGGTGTTGTGCTAAATTTCTTTACTGTCCCAGAACATGTTTTATTGTGGATAGGTAGTTATATATAAACTGTTAATAAATAATAGGTCTACCTGGGGAACTTTTTATCAGATCATTAAATTTTGCTGTTATCCCTCTGATAACCACGAATATAATGTCAAGTAATCTCAGTGTTTTGTATAATTCCCGAACATCTAATATGTGTAGTGTCGTCTAAGCTGAAGCCTTCAGTGCAAGGGAAAATGGCGTTACTTGCTCTAGGATACTGTGTTTTGATGAATATTTGTGGGGCTTTTCTTGGTCTCGGTATTACCGCACTTATCGACCCAGGTCCATAAAATTTTTTCCATAATCGTTTATTTTAGGTGGTAGATTCACTACAAGTGTTGAAAAGTCGAATGGATTGTCAAAAGTCTCCAGGAAAGTCGAAATCTCGGACGTATTTCTAGACTTCTTCAGGTCAGTTTAAGCATTGCATTTAAAGTCCATGTAATTGGTTTCGTGTGTGAAACCCCTTAAATTCACGGCACTAAGCTATCTGTAGACGCACATGCCTTGTGGGCAAACATTGACAGCTTATTTCATTGATAACTGTATAATTCTAGGAAACTTACTACTGTACATTGACTTCTTATCAACCACTCTACTCAGGAGCTAGAAGTGATCTTTAAAAAAGCTACTTCATAGTTTCTGAATGAATTTTTAATCTCCTGCGTTTATTCACTCAATATACATTGTAACTCTCTTCCCTTATAAGAATTTTTCAAATATCATTGTCGTTAAAACGTTCCAAACTCTATTATGTGGTTTTCGTAACATATCACCTATTATTTCGTAAATTAATATTGTTTGAATGTAATGTAATATACACCATGTCATCATTTCAAGTGTACTTGACTTGGTGAATGCGATCCCGAATTCTCATGTGAAAAGCACAATTTCGTTACTCTTAATGACTTCAGTTTCCCAAAGTGTTTTGAAATTGTTCAGGCCCGTGACTTTGATGTCACCAGTTTCTCCCCCCTCTCTCTGGCTATCTTATTACTTACATTCAATACATTTTATATCGAATAAAACACATGTACTTACTGTTTTTTTATACAACTTATAGTGATGACTTTCTGTATTAATAAATAATAGGATTATGGCTATTTCATTCCAAAGTTATCTGTCATTTTAGTGTTTTTTACTTCGGCTATTTAACTTAGCCTTATATCCTCATACTGCTTAACCTGTTTGGCTATGTTCCAAGTCTGAATATTTTGTAACAAACAACCTGTCAGATTTCTACTACTACAGACATCATTTTGCGTTTTGTATTTTCATTTGTAATCTTTATGAAATCAGTTATAATAGCTGTTGATTGCCTTATTTTTTGTGTCAACGTATCTATAAATCCACGGAGTAGAATATGTAATGTCAACTGGTATTTCTTTTTAGGTACGGAAATAAATTTGTTCCAATCTATGCTTCGCCCCATCAGAATGTAAAATAACTTGTAAAGATTAACTTACAACGACATTTTGTTTCATCTTGTATAATAGGGATTGTGTGAATGACACTTACGTATTTCGTGAATAGCTTCAGTTCATGTGTACTGATGGGGTACAAAACTTGTAGGTACAAAAAATTTAAAGAAGATTTATTAGCTTGTTCAAAATATGAAGTTGATAATGTATATATAGGTCCATTAATGAACAGAAAGATAAGTAACTATACCTAAAAATTGACGAAGTACTAACCCGACTCTTATGTTTAGAGGAGCGACCTTATCAGGGTTTGAGATACTACTAATCAGCGATTTGCAGAAACAATCAAGTTCCTCTGAACCGTTTAGTTTGCTGAAATAATGATGAAAACATTACAGAGATCATTTTACTTATTCGGAATAGGTTGATAATGGTTACCTAGAAGGTAGACTTGGAGTTTTGTAAGTTATCACATAACTTTCCTTCTTTCACAGGAACATTTATATGCATTTTCATGGTTGTTTCATGAATTATAGTTTGCATCAGCACAAATTATAGTTTTAATTATCAGTGAACATTTAATACAACCTATGGATTCTAACAATTCTTAAAAATAAATTCTTTTTTATTCTGATTGCATTTTCAGTGTAAACTATATGATCTGCACTTAAATAAAAATAAATTTTTTCACTTAAATGTTTTTAGAAATATGATTCCTGATAACATTGTTAGGATGTTTTTGTTTTCGGTAAGTTTTCAGTAGGCAATTACTAATGATAATGTCATTATTTAAATATTTGTAAACGAAATTGTGCGATTTTTTCCTTTCAGTCTTTCAAAATCCATGTAACTCCTTTGTAGCTTATGCGTATAATTTAAGGGTTATTTATCCCATTCGAATGGATAATAAAATTAAAATTCTAATGTTCAATTAAAAGTTTGCATGATTAATAAAGTGATATTTAGAGGATAATTTCACCATATATTTACGCGGACGACTACTGTAGTTAAAATCGTAAGATAATGGTAGTATTATAAGCAACCGTTTCTATTGTGCCTCCACAGTACTCATTTAACTTATGGTAGCATTTTATTTTCATTTCTATCATCGAATGTTACAAACGTACATACGGCAATTTTAGACGATGAAATTTGATTAGCATTAACTTACAACTACTGTGAACATTTTATAATTAGCTGTCACATTGGTGACCATAATGAATCAGCAGCTTAATGGACCACATGCGTTATGAGTTCACCTACCACCCACCATTCGAAGTGTATTTAATTTGGAAAATTCAGGCATTGTCGAGATATTAGTTCAGTCAACCCACATGATAGTATAAAAAGTGAGAATTAAAAATCCCTACAAATAATCAACTTGAATTTATTGTGTATAAGATATCTACCTGTTCGAAATGTATTCTACGTTGTGTTTAAGTAGTCAGTCTACACAAAACTGAGAAGTTATTATAATTTAATAAGCCTCATCGTAAAGATTTTTGTTATGATCAACAATGCAGACGATTATTTTCCATATTCTTTTGTAATTAACTACAGTGATGTGTATTATTGCTATTCAAAATATGATACTACTTGAATATTTGCCTCATCATGTATACGGTGTCTAGTCTAAGTAGTCAAAATAATACTTGATACCAGATATTAATGAATATATATATAGTAGGCGAAATTAAAATACTAGTATATGTACGAAGAATATTTTTTACAATAAATTCTATTCATGTTCCACAGTTTGACAATTTAAATTAAAATCTCGTTGATATTTTGGTCTGATTTCTCAGTTTTCCTTTTATCTTTGAATCCGTTAGGATTTTTGATTGGCTAGTTCAGATAGACATAATTACAGTAAAGGTCCTTCTACAAACCTTTGTTTATAATTTCTGTCGATTAGATAAATGTACCTTGAGAAAAAGTTGTGACTGTTATTTTTACAATATTTTGGTTATGATTCAAGTAATTAGGCATTAGAATTTCAACCACTAGGTTATAGATATCAACGTTCTTTTATCACCATGCAAGTAATATCCTCACCCCTAACATAGCATGTGTTACTTAAAATCTGCTGTTTTATATTATTTGGATATTCAATAAATTGTTTTTAAAATCCACCTTTTATCATTCCGTCAGTTTTATTTCACTGTTATCATCATTCTTTGCTTTCATTTATGTTAAAGATCGTCACAACATACGAGCCAGTTGAATCTCTTCCTAACTCAAATGGTAATTCATCTTCAACTATAACATACAAACGAGTAATTGAGCATGCGGCACAAACAAATATCCTAGGTGAGATATATTTTCTCTGTTTGTCTTTAGTAAGATGCTAGTATTTTGTCAATCTTTCACTACTTGGATGAACAACGTTTAAAAAAGTACTTAGCACCGATTATTATTTCTGATTTAGTTTTTTAGTAAATTTTTTTAGCGTGTTTCTACTTAAAGGTGTTTATATATGAATGATCTTGTTTTGGTGAACAAATTATACCAATTATGAGACTTCGTTTTTGTTCTGTATTTAAAATTTCCCTGAACCTTTTAATAAATTTATAGTTGTAAACTCATTTTATTCGTGTATGTCCCACATTATCTTTGGTTTTTCATTCATTTTCGTATTGGTTGTTGGTACATCCATCTGGCGAGTTCCAAGTGAAACAAAAAGTGCGTCCTGGATTCTACTGATCGCTTTAGACTTGGTCGTGGCTGTATCGACTACATATTCACCATTCGTCAGATCTTAGAACTCAGGCATGCTTATCGGCACTTGACAATGATAGTTTTTCTCAAAAGCAGCATTTGACTCTGTAGACCGCGAGGTTCTTGGGCAGTGTCTTTCATTGAAAGATGTACCTCTGAAGTACACAAACCTGGTGAAGGCTCTTTACTGAAATTAAATAGAGCAAGAACAAACATTGATGCAGAATAGTATGAATTTATATTATTTCGAGGTTTCTCGTCAGCTGCTTACAAACCAAAATTGTGATAGAATTTTTTACATGGAGATAGTGTGAAAACAATTGACATAAATGAGTGTAAATAACTGGATTACAATAATAACTATATATATATATATATATATATATATATATATATATATATATGCTAGAAACAGGTCAGAGGTAAAAAGAGGGGGGTTAATCCAGGGTGGGTGGTGTAATAATTTAGTGAAGTTCATAAATTGTGTGATAATTGTAGAGATTAATGGAATTAAATAATGATAAGGTAGATTACGTAATAATAATTAAATAGAATTTGGAAAGTTAAGATAATTTAAGAGGATCAAGTGGTGGAAATGTGTGAATAAAATTTATTTTAAGAATTAGCTAATAGGAGGGGGTATAAAATATCTTAGAATAAGTAAATGAATAAAATAACCAAAACACAAAACAAACAGAAACAAAAAGATTACCAGGGTAATGATAAGTTTATTAAAGTCTCTTTTTGGATGCATAAGTCCGGTTTCAGTTTCTTAATTGCAATGGCTTCAGCAAAGCGGAGAGTGGTAGTAGTTCTTTGTCTATTGATAATTTTAAACACGCGTATAATATCGACGGTATGCCCGGTGTCAAGTATATGCCGAGCTATTGCACTGTTAAAAGCTTAAGTCCCTCGCAGCGTCAAGTTCTTCGGAATATGCTCAGAAATGCGAACCTGTACTCTTCTCTCAGTTCTTCCAATGTATGTGCTACGGCACGTACATGTGAATTGGTAAATGCAGTTGGAGCAACTGAGGGGAGAGGACTTGTCGATCTTCGTTTGTTTCAGTGAGCAGTATGTTTTCATAACGTAGTCAGTTTGGCTGCCGGGTAGGTCACTTTTAAAGCGGAATTAATTCTGTGATTGATAATTCCGGCGACTTCATCTCCTTTGAAGCGCAAGGATAGGAAGCAGGTTTTCTTTTCAACTGTATCATGCTTAATCGGAGGGTTTGTATTAGCATATTTGTGGATGAATTTATCCAGATATGCATTTTCACGTAGGCATTTGGTGATTGTAGTAATTTCTTCTTCGAGGCATTCTTTTGAGCAGATTTTTCGTGCGCAGTCAAAAAGGTTTCGCACAATACCCTTTTTACAACTCATTGGACAGAAGCTGTTAAAATTGAGATAAACTCCGCTCCACGTATTTTTGCGGTGAATGTGTCTTTGTAGTGTGCCATCTGATGTTCGCCTAATTCCAATATCTAGGAAATGGAATTTATCATCAACTTCATGTTCCACGGTAAATTCTATATCTTTGTGTACTTTACTGAACAGACTAAGTAGGTATATGGAGTGTTGGTGATTTTTGCAGACAAGGAACGTGTCATCCATATATCTGCAGTAGAGTGTGGTACTGTCAATTGTGTACTTCAGTTTCCTTTGTTCCAGATGTCCCATAAATATGTCGGCAAGAATTGGGACTAGAGGGCTGTCCATTGCTATTCAATCAATCTGTCGGTACAGAACATTGTTAAATTTAAATTGTGTTTTTTGTACACAAAAACAGGAGCTGTTTAAATTCCTGGGGTGGTAAAGGCAGGAGTTCTGGATATTCACATATGATCTATGCCGTTTCTTCCAAGGGGATATTTGTGAAAAGCGAAGAGACATCAAATGAAACCATGAATTTGTCAGAGACATTAAGGTTACCAAGTTTTTGTATAAATTCAAAGCTATCTTTCGAACTGTAGGCTGCTAGTTTTTTGCGGATTGGTTCCAAGCATCTAGTAAGCCAGCGGGCAAGTTTATGGAAGGGTGATTTGGCCATCGATAATATTGGTGTCGGGTTTATGTGTTTTGGGTAGCCCATATAAATATGGCGATTGTGACCCTTTTGGTTTAAGTTCGTTGTACGTATGATTATCTATTAGATTTTTCTTAACAAGTTCTCTCAACTTTCTTAAGACACGTTTCTCTGTCGCATCTGTTAAGTCTTTCTGGGTATTGTCGATGATAAATCTGGTGGAGTTATTTAAAATGGACATTACCTTATTGATATATTCATCTCTGTTGAGAATGACTACACTGGAACCCTTATCCGGACGAAGTAGCATTATTGTTTCATCTTTAATAAGTTTTTCCAGTGCTTGATGGTGATCTTCGGTGAAAACCCTTGAGTGTGGGATTGGTGTCGTAACATACTCGTTTATGGTATCCACTAATTTAGATTTAAACCAACTATACTTTTCGTCGTTCATGGGTTTAAGGTCTGACAATTGTTGATATAAGTATTCAAACTGGGTCTCAGTGTCTATTCTGTTGCATTTTCTTGGGATATGAAATTTGAATCCAAGGCAGAGTGCTTCAGTTTCAATTCGACTTAGTTTTTTATTACATAAGTTCTGTATGTATTTTCGTGGATTGGTAGGAAATGCCACGTGGTTTTGTTCTTTAACAAGTGTTTTGGTTAAGGTCTTCATGAATTTGTGACTGGTTTTCGACTGGACATCACGAATGAAGTTAATAAGTTTAATACGACATACAAAATTTAAATCCATAACAATTTTGTCATAACCAAAAGATTCTATTTTAAGTTTAGAGATAAGATCCTTAGTGCATTCAATTTGGGATTTGGTGACTCGTCGAAGATTTTTTAACGAAGGAGGTATTTTATAGGCGCGGACAGCCTTAATCATGTGGCGAGGAAAACAGCCATCATTAAGGCAACGTGACAAAAACTTTAATCTTGTTGTTTCTCTCGATATCCTGCAACGAATTTTCACCAACTTGTTGAGTGACTTGAAAATGTGAACAGAGAGACGGCTTTTCAGAAATTTCATACAATTGGTTCCCTTTATGAATTTAAATAGAGCAAGAACAAACATTGATGCAGAATAGTATGAATTCATATTATTTCGAGGTTTCTCGTCAGCTGATTACAAACCAAAATTGTGATAGAATTTTTTACTGAAACACTATCAGTCGAGTTAGAACTTATAGAGAACTGTCATCTGATTTCGCAACCTCAAGTAATGTCTGTCAAGGTTGTCCACTATCTTCATTTTTGTTTAATTTCATCATAGACCTACAGCTGGAAATAAAACTCTCGTCAACTGAATTTTCAGGAATTGATCTCTTTCCAGAAGGTCCACTTATCAACTTAGAATACCCAAATGACATAGTTCTTTTTGGTTAAGACGCTGATAAAATGCAATCTTTTGGTAGCATTGAGCAACGATACCAGGCTGTTTGGGATGTATTTCTCCCCCTCTAAATTCAGATTGTTGCTTCATGACTGACCTGTGTCAACACCTGGACCAAGGATAGGGAATGAGGTAGTCGAACGCGTTGACAACTTCACTTATCTTGGAAGTCTGATCAACCTTAATGGGTTGGTTTCTGACGAAACCTCTGCGCAGATTCAGAAAGCTCATTTGGCTTTTTGCCAAATTACGTCACTTATAGTGAAGGCGAGATACTCGTCTGTTAATTAAGGGACGAATATACTGCGCAGCAGTTCGTTCTGTTCTACTTTATGGCTGAGAAACGTGGTCATTAATTGTAGAAGATACTCTTAAGCTACTAGTATTTGACCACAGATGCCTTAGAAATATTGCTGGCGTCTGCTGTGATCACCGGGTATGCAATAGTGAGATTAGACGCAGTGTATTAGGGAATGACGGTAAATCAGTTTATGAGGTTGTGAATCTTCATCGACTGAGATGGTTAAGATACGTGTTACGTATGCCTGAATACCGATTACCACGACGCGCAATGGTCATTAGTGTTGGGGATGGAACCAGTCCTTGAGGTCACCAACTTCTGGTCTGATCCATATCGGTAGATGTAGACTACTTGGTTGGGGTCCGCCCGACTGTCGTAACGAGTGGTTGGAGACTCTGGGTGACATAGCTCATAATCGACCACAATGGCATATGTGTATACACTCTTTGTCTTTCCTTAAACAGTAAAATTAGAACTACTTTATACCTTTATTTCTACGAACCGATTCTTTCTTCCTGTATCATATGCAATTTTTATTATATATATTACTACAATTCAAATAAGTACTTCTATGAATTTGGTGTTCACCTTGTTATGCTAATGAGTTGTGGCAACTTGAACCGATGCATGTGTGTACCTGTTCCTAAGTTGTAGCTGATAGACTGACTAGAATGCGACCAAAGAAGAGCCACTCATGAATTACGCATACCATTTAAGCACTAGTGTGATGTATGCTACTTATGTCTGTCGACGTTAGTAGTATGTTACACGAGTCGGAAGTTGGAAACCTGGCATCAGAAGTCTAAGAAGATCGAGCTAAAGATAATAGAAATAGAAACAGAAAGGAATTGTGAACTGGAAGAACTATACAGAATGTGAAGGACAAATGACGGAAATCTCCAATAAACTATTTAGTGTATGATTCTTATATTTTAATAAGATATTCTGTAATTTCGTATTAATTAGAACTTGGTTGTCCTGACGTGAGTGTTCGTCCACAACAATCGAAGTTAACCCAATAAAACGTTATAGAAACGTAGTAAAACAGCAAATCCCTTACTCATTAAGGCATTGTTTGAAGTGAATAACAATGTTGAACAACCTCACATAATTCATGCATATACAATACATTGGTTACTTGACTGTATCTACTCTTCTATTTTTTTATTATTGTTATTGGTAATGCTCTAAAGTCTTTCTGTTCTTATTTAATTTTTTTTCTTTATAGGATTGTTTACCACTAGCCTTGTTATTGGTTTAGTTGCTGGGTCTCGAAGGGAAAAATTGCGCCCACTAATTGCATTATTTGAATGCATTTCCGAAGTAATGACTATTATTATTGAGTTTATTATCAAGTGAGAATTTTACTCTTGATCCTATATATTTGACTTTTTAACAAAACATTTTTCAGTTTTTACTGAAGAGATTCGTAGTTTTAGTCGAAATTTGAAATCATTTGTAAAATGATTCGCAAACAGAATACTGGATTTACTGTCGTCAATTTTTTTCCAAATCTCATGAAACTGCCCATGTATAACCTGTTCGTAAACTGTCCATGTAGTTTTTTATATTAGCAACAATATGTAAGTAATTATCCATTGTTAAGTTGTCAGCTAATTCATGTTTTCCTCCCAGGATTCAGGCTAGATAGCTCTCGAAAATCAATTTGAAAAAATGTATTCTGTATGTCATGGTAACAATTCCCATTAGCGTGAATTAGCTGGTTGATATACATTGATATTACATACAACGATAGCTTATCTTTAACACATCTTCAATTTAGATGTCAGTTAATGAAAATAATACTAAGTGTAGTACAAAAAAATCTAAATATGTACACAGTCAATTGGTCAAAGCTCCACTGGAACATAATGTTTGGAATTAGTATTATTCTACTTAGTTAACAAAAGTACATTGCTAATCACTTGATGAAGTAATGACTAAACATTTGAAACACTATTTGTAACCACAGAATGGTATACTTGCAAACCAATCCTGCTGTCCAAGGAGTCAAGTAGTACCGCTAGATGCTTCACAAAACCTATATAAATCCGAAATCAAGTGCAAGAAATTCTACTGAATCCCAATTGATGTATTCAATTGTTAATTAAGATTTGTTTTATTTAAGAATTTTTAATATCTATTTGAAGTTAAAACTGTTACTTAACCCTTTATTTAGATTGCTCCCAATCGCCATGATTAGTTTAATCGCATATGCAATTGCACGAATGGAAAGAATCGGAGATAATTTTATCGCTTTAATTCTGTTCGTTGCATCGTCAATTACATTTCTTTCAATCATTGTACTTGTGATCATGCCAGTATTTTTCTTCATAGCAGTAAGGCGAAATTTATTTCGCTTCTATTACTATTTATCTGAGCCTGTATTGACTGCTTTCAGTTCGACCAGTTCGTAAGTTTGTTGTTCGACTTTTTATTCTGATCGGTTATTTTTTTAGATCTATTGGAATTTATTATATTTTTATAGGACAAAGGAGTTAAAGTTACAAGCAGTCTCTTCAGATTCTCGACAAGTTACTCTATGAAACTCAACTATTTACTATGTATTAACTTCACATTTTATTGATCCGTCTAGTGGAACATCTTGTATAGTTTCATAGAAGCTTGTATATAAACTTAACATGTGTAATTTTCAATCATTAACATGTAACTATCTTTATAAGACTAGTTTATGGTATATTCTTAAGATTTCACCTGAAAAGCTAAACATAAGGCATGTTTTAAGTCACGTCATACATGAGACAGATTCCTATAATACCAGGTAATCAAAGTGGATTTATATTTCACTTTTTCGTTTATGGTCTTTCGGAGTGATCTTAACGCTTTTTACCTCCCCTAGACAGGATGTTTGCATACACACCAACCTGGTTAAATTCTTGGAATTCCGATTTCGCTCACTCACTTTTGTTAAATCGTTCCATCTACAGAAATTAAGCGAAGATGACTTCTCTAAAACGAGCTATAAATACATGTTCAACTGAATGACTACAAATTTTTGAAATATTTGTTGTTTGCAAGATTAAGGGAGTTATACAATAATCCCACTGTGATTGATTTTAAATCATATCACTCACTTTGCAACCATCAATTTTATTCGTTTCTTGGAAATTGATTTGATAGCTGACAGTTATACTCCATAAATCAGCTGTTAAACGTTTAAGCTAGTACAATAATTTGATAAAAATACACTAAATCTCTCATCCAGCTCTTTACCCTAGCTGTTTCAGAGCTTTTGAAAGTAAAGTATGTCTCATTCGCCGAAGTCGATAAAAATACACAAACTTTGTCTTTCATTGTCCAACTCCAAAATTTCCATTTCCCATCTTTTCCTTTACTTCCTGACTACTGTTAGTATCGTTTTTTCCAGTTCTTTGATTTCTTTTTTATTGATTTACTCTTACTTCGTTTATGGAAATCATGACTACTAGCCCTTAAACACTCATACTATATACTATACTTTTTATGTATCTATCCTATCATTCCAAGCTTAACTACATCATTCATCCACTGGGTTTTTCATATGGCTGATTTTTATCTGTGTTTAAAATCCCAAACCACATTCTCTTTTAATTGCATACTAAAGCGGTACATATTGTTATTCAAGTGCTTTTTGTATTCAACTAGGAGCATAAGTAACGTACTGTGGCGAATGTAGAATGAATATTTCTTTACTTGTATTTCATCAGTAAAGTGAATGGACAGGTTTATTCAGACACCTTACTTCGGATCATTGGAATAAACATTAATGCACAACTTCACAACCTAGCATACATGAAGTATTTTTGTCTTCAGTTTCCAAATAACAGTCTCCCAGTATGTTTAAACGATAGGAGTACCGTGTTACGAAACGTTGTCATAATGACAGAGACAGGTATGAGTGAGTACGGACATATCAAATAGTTTCTGCCTAAATCTACTTAAACATTCATTTAAATGACGTGATTAAATTTCCAGTATAGGGGTTGTGGAGATTATTAAGTTTTTGATTGAGATCATGAACCAATTGATGTAAAACCACCGTTGGAAACCTGGAAGCACTGGACGGCCGGCTCAGTGGTCCAATGAGTTAAGCTTTCGCGCGCGAGACTGAAGGCCCTGGGTTCAAATCCCGCGGGAAGGATCGTGGATGCGCACTGCTGAGTTCCACAATAGGACGAAACGACCGTCCAGTGCTTCCAAGTTTCCAACGGTGGTCTAACATAAATCGGTTCATGATCCCAATCAAAAACTTAATGATTAAATTTATCAACATTTGAATATATCTTCTACACTCAACTTGCCAGATCGTGCTTTATCGTTCAGTCTTTGTCAGGTTTGCATTTAGCCTTAAGTTACATTTTGTGCTTGGGGATTGTGAGAAGCAATATGTGATAGAACCTGTAAGAGAATAAAATAAGTGAAAAAAGTGGGCCAACAACTCAATGGGTTTATAGAATGCACTTAAATTTAATAATGAAATTGATCTATATTAATCAGCATTAACACAAATATGAAATTAAAACAATCTGATAATCGAACCTAAAAGTTGATTGCCTACAGTTTCCAATGCATTACAGTACAACATATCAATGTAACCGCTTCTAATAAATTCAAATCATGTTTTTTTCCATTAAAAAATATCTTCTAGTTTAATTGCTCTTCCACAACTTTTTCAAGTTTGTGATCTTTATGGAATTGAGTCAGATTTAGTACGAACTGTAGCACCATTTCTCACAAGCTTCAATGCGAATGGATCTGCTGCATTTATTGCATCTGCTGTTTGCTTTGTAGCCCAATTAACTAAACAACGTTTAAATGCTGGTCAGTTTATTGCAATTGGGTAAGTTTAAATATTTTTTATTTTATTGTTGTTAAAATTACTTTCATTATAAAAAACAAACGAACAAACACATGCATAAATATGATAACTGCACACTAACGGTCATCGTTAAAGTTACATTTTAATAAAACAATGACTTATTTCGTTTGTTGTATTTCCAAAATTTCTTGAATGTAACTTCAGTATAAAGATTGAGAAGCAGCTCTCGACTTTATGTCTCATGTTTCTTCGTTTTTTGTTAGTCCAAGACTGCATATATAAAATATGTAGTAATAAATGTTTTGGTTTTAAAATAATTATGGTCATTTCAAATCTCTACACTGTCAATTACGTTTCAGTAATATCAATGTACATCTATTATTAATTACCTACTAACTGAATGATTGAATCACTGTTAAATTACATGAAGTAACACATTCTTTCGATGTTACAACATAAATAAAAGTACTAAATAAAGGATAAAAACTAGAAAAAATGTACATCAGGAAACAATGGATGAATGAAAGCTGTGAAACCTGTATTTGTATATTGTAGAATTAGTTTCATAGCCTAATTGTATCGTGACTTCTTCCACTATCCCTCTCTCCCTCTCTGTAGGCAATATGGAAAGAGTCGGGATATATATCAACTATACTGACTCAATACATAATGCAGTTTTACCAGTTAATACACACTTACAACAAATTTAGTCTCCTTACTCAAACCCCATTTACTTACTGTGTACACTAACTGTCACACGAAAGTATTGAGAAATACCTACTTTTGTATACGTAATTTTCTATCCAAGCGAAATAAAAAGGTTTTCTGACCATCTGTTCTGTTTTTTTGATATTTTCTTATTGGGCTTGTACGCAATTATTAGTTGGCTACCATTATATTTGACAGATGAGCTTTAGTAATTTTATTCAGTATTTTCGCTATCACAATACAATTATTTACAACTGAGTAGTGCTTTTCTCGCCCTACCTAATTGTTTTCTTATTTACAAGATCCGATTTCTGTTATTCACTTCAACTCACCTAAGAATTTTAGCGAGTTTATGTCTCAACTTTCTAGTCATAACAAAGCAATCAGTCAGTTAGCCATAAACGATGAACGTACCATATATAGGCCCAGTTGGCACATCACATCAGCATAGCATGATAAAACCATCAAAACGTATTCCAAAACTATAGAATTAGTAGTGATAGTAGCAGTAGCACCAGTGATGATAAAAAAAGACGGCATAGAGAAGAAAGAATGAGGTCAAGTAATAAAATGAATAAAACGATTTTGAACTCAGAATCTAAGGGAAGTTAGTGAGTGAATGGATCTAAATTTTCGAGATTTCTTCAGACAATCAAACCACTAGGACTAGTAAAGTTTCTAAAATAAGTGAAGTAGTGGATGCGTCCAACAATCTGACTCGCAACCATTAGTTTAGGGGTTGACACAAATATTTTACAGTTATGAGAGAAACGCATAGTAAACACTCTTGGATTGTTGCTCAGTGCAATCAGAAGACAATTTGTCAGTTTTCAATCAACTAAACTGTCATCTTTATCTTCTAAATCCATAAGTGGACTTCCTGTCAGTCCACTTCCTAAAACGGTAAGATAAAAAAATCTTTATCTGTGAAACTCTTCTTATGACAAAGTTGAATAAAAATGTAAGAAACTATGATAAACACCACTTGAGATTGACAATTCCGATGACAGTTTGACATAAGCTCTAACTTGACCGAATATTGTTCGAGTAAAAATGAACCCTCACAAGATATATGTACTCCTTCAGTATATTATTTAATGACATATATTAAGAGGTCAGTACGTCTCAAACAAACAATGTCATATTTAATATATGATATTCATAATCATCTCTCTATTTTATTGAAATTTGTCTTATTGTTCTGGTTTATATTTGTCATATTTAATTGTGTTTTGTTTCGCCCTCCTCTGAATTCAGATTTTTATCCGGTGTCAATGTGATGGCACTGCCTGCAATTCCAAGTGCAAGTATTATAACTGTTATTTTAATAACACGCGCATTTGACATTTCTGAATCTACCTCCGTATCTTTACTTTTTGTTACTGAGTTTATTGCGTAAGTATTGGAATTCTGTGTGTGTATGTATTTGTGTTCAATTTCAGTTTTATTTTGCCACATACTACCACCGCTGTCTTCAATGTAGTGGTTAAGGTTTTCAATTTTAGTAGTTATAACTCTTAGTTAATTGTTGTAGTGTTCCAGATATATATGACAAATGATCTATAAAGCATATCTTTATTTCAAATTAATGCGTAATAACCATTTTATATTAATCAAAACTATTAAAATCAACTTTTTGTAAAAAAAAACTAGACATAATGTCCATCGAAAATTGGGGAAAGAAACCTAACTCCGGGTATTGTCATTCTTGAACAAAGAAATGCTTATGAAAATACATGGAGCTGTGGCTCAATGATCAAGGTGTTTGACATTCAGCCAATAAGTTGCTTATTTAAACCCCACTTTACCTACTTCGGTTTGATCAATCGGCTAATATCACCAGCACTCGTGCTTAAAGTGTGGCTTTAAAATTAAATACATAAAGCAATGAGTATGTGTAAATATACATCATCTTGAACTAAAACTCTTAAATCAGTGTAAACGGTCAACTTAAAATAATTTGTACAATTCATTAAAAGTAAGTTTACTGGACAAAATCTAAGATATCTCTTTTGCACTTTTTAATTTCTATCACTGTCTTTTATTTCTGTTTGTCTTCATTGCTATAATTACATACAAGTAAAAGAACTTGTGTATTTCTTCTCTTTTTTTTGCGAAAAATATTATTGATTGTTTACAAAATAAAATCTAACATTTAGACAAATAGAAGTAAACGCTATGTATGTATTATTATACTCTCTGGTATTGTTACGATCAATATCTTTTTAATAGGTGAATAAAGAAAGCACGAGGATGCCAATGACTTTTGCATTCTATAAAATGCGTTTTTTTTTAATGAAAACTTTACTCTGATTGACGACAGCTCCACCATCATAGCTTGTAATTATAAATAAAGTGTCAAGTGGTTTCTGTTACATAATGATTATAATTGCAATAATTTACTAATTTTATGATTGAAATATTCTTTTGAATGATCAGTCACAGACAATAAGATTAAAATTACTATATCATTAGTTCGCTTTACTTCAACTCAATTTATAATCTGACACAAATGTATGGTGCGTTATTGTCTTTCACGATTACATTACTAAGATCCTTTCCTACAGTAAAATTTTAGGATGATTACTACTCATCTACGAATCCTTGCTAATTGATAGACTTCTATTATGACAACATAGGTAACTGATAGGGATTCTGGTATGAGATGGCCAAACTACAAATGCACTGACAGGATCAATCTTTTAAATGATGACCGAATGGATTCCAGAGTATATAACCATTGACTAGCTAATTTATCAGCCAAAATGTGTTATTTATGACAATATTTAGCCAAACTGGTATAATTAAGTTAGAAATAACTAATCAAGGATAAAAATAGAACTTCATGATGTAATTGATAATTTTTCACTACTGTCTATCTTACCATGTTGGTGCGGCACCTTATATTTTCCTGTTTGTGTTAATGATATAATGCATTGTTGTGTTGTTGTTTCTGTTCGATCTTCCGATATCTTCCAAATTACTCGAACTTTTAAGTATCACTCAATATATAAAATACAGAACGTGATTTAAGCACGCTAATTAATCTTTCTTAAAACTTGTCTTGTGGTTTTAATAAAAAACTACTAACAATCCCAACATATCAGTAATTAATTGTTGACCGTTTCCTCACTTACTATGTCTCAAGTGACATCGTCTCATTTGTATAGAATAACAATGATGATGAATTTAAGCACAACCAGTTTTTTTTTAATGTCAAACGATATTTGGTTATCGTATAACATTGTGCTATATACACTTGAAATGTATTTTTTATCACAAACTGATCTCATTCGGAAAAAATACTGAAGAAAAAGCACAAATTAGAAACAGAATCATTAAAATACAGATGAATGACCAGCGACCAAATAGTTAATAAATAGAGGAATTTAAGATACAAAAGAAGAATATATGGAAAACGTTGGATACGTATATGTCACTGCTAACAATCTAATTTATCATCATGTATAATCATTAACTGTTAAACTCTAACATATTCACTTAAAGCAAACAATTGACAGATATCATAGCTACGATTTGGTCTTGATGAAGCTGCTCAATCTTTTATTCTACTAACTACTTAATTTTATCTGAGATATGGTTTTATTTCGTTGGTTGCTTTATAATAACTTCACATTACGTATCACAGCACTTCACCGTACATTTCCAATTTTTTTCCGATGTTGTAACCGTTCACAATAAGAAAAATCAATTCCGTTGTTACTTTTTACCCATTCCACTTCTATTCCAATGAGGCATAAATAATGTAACCTTTAATGTTGTTCATTACCTTTAACTATATATTATGTATTGTTTTGGACTCTAATCAAATACTTTATTTTTGAACCAATGTATACTAATTAATTTTATAAACAATCACACAATGATTACAGTTGATTGATCGTAATTTCAAAAACCTGGAAGCACTGGACGGTCGTTTCGTCCTAGTATGGGACTCTTTCACCATGTGCTCACTAATGACTGATTTCAAGAGACATTTCCTGGAGTTCTGGTGAGAAGCCGTGACCAGTGGAGTTCAACCAGGTCTGTTGTGAGATATCAGCTCACTGAAGACAATGGTGTACGGCGGCACAATTTCGTGAATTAGTTGAAGTTAGACATTAACATCGTCGGATGTCGGCCAGATCAGTGGTCTATTGGTTAAGCGCTCGCGCGCGATACTGATAGGTCCTGGGTTTAAATCTCGCGAGGGGCCGGGTCGTGGATGCACACTACTGAGGAGTTTCATACTAGAACGAAACGACCGTCCAGTGCTTCCAGGTTTTCCATGGTGGTCTAGCTTCAATTCACTCATGATTTCAACTATTGCGATTACTAAAATCTCCACAAAACCCCTTTTGATAATGATCGTAATTTATTTAGATATTTTTGTATGTTTTTAGTCACTTGCAACTGTACTGAATACCTAATTAAATCATTTTAAAACGAAATGGCGGCTATTTTTCGTTTATTCTCTTTGAATAATCATCTTTATCTATGTGCGTCTTTTACGCTAACTCTTTTGTATTAGGTCTTTTCAGGGTAAAACACGGTAGACAGAAACTCTAAAAGTCTGCACTTCTCTATACAGATTGAACTTTTTGCTACTTAGTGTAATACCTTCATCCGATTAAATTATTCAGTAAAAAAGTGTGTTAGTTTATTCTAATCCACCAGTTTTTGTAATTATCCGATATGCTAATTTAATAACAGCTGATTGATCCATAATTTGGATCTATTTGTTCTCAATTATTTAAATATCTTAACAACATACATTTTTAATTTTTAAAAAAAACTAAAATAAATACCGTGACTTGTTTTTACATTTAAATGAATAAACCACCACATGTTTCTAATAAATGAAATGCAATTTAGTTTGTCCTAAAATTAATTAATATGTGTTAAATATATTTGTGATAATTAAATTAATAATATGGTTATATTGCTCTGGTAGAATAACTAATTGCCTGTACATAAACACATTATTTAATATGCTTTTCAAAATGTAGAACTTTTATTTATCTTCGTATTCGAATAATACCATTCAAGATGCTACGTAAAAAGTTGTATTAAGCGTTTAATTAAGTAGTGTATTTCTATAATATTCATTGATATTCAAAATGAGGTAGTCAATATTGTAGTTAAACTAAATCATGTTGTATTTCAATTATCATTTATTCTTAACTGATTACCTCAATAAATTTCTAATTTAGTTTGGTTCAATTTCACAGATTTTAATCCCTTGGTAAATTTAAATAAACAAGGTTGGCAGAATAACGTAAATTTGTTATATACTTCAAGTCTTCTCATCAGTTGTAAACGACCTAAATTTATAATTATTTATTTTATTATAAAGAAATAGGCTGGTATCCCTTAATCAACAAAATAAAGTTGGGAAAATGTCAGAAACGGAATGAGAAATATTTAACACTGTGGTTAAGAATGACTAGTATTTATATGTTGATAGCAGTCAAATGAAGAAGGAAATAATATAATAAATAATAATTGAGCGATGAAGTGCGAAAAAAAAATAATTCTTTTCGACAAATAGTTTATAATATAACCCAATCACCTAGTTGATATAAAATTGAAGTTAACATTGTTAGTGAATATTATATATCCAGCAACATTCAAATTTACTCTATTTCTGGATTCACTACTTCCTAAACTCCCAATATTCTTTTGTACATTGCGATGTTAAATTCATTGAAAAGAGATCCCTTTGCTGAACTTCGTGCTTTTAAACAACTTCTGTTGACTGTTGATAATTGTCTGTCAAACTAATTTAGATATTTTTCTTGGTTTTATAAATCTTTTGCAGTAGTTTTGATACATTTGTTGAATTGTTCATTAAATAGTTTCCTGTCACCTGTGAACAACTGTACCATTTAATATTTTCTTCATACTTTTTTGTTTTAGTGATCGATTACGTACCGTTGTAAATGTTATGAGTCATGGTACTTGTGTTCTATTCATTCATATGAAGTTACACAAGGTGAGTTCTACGTCGAATATTCAAAATCATTTGATTCAAACCACAGAAGTTGTCAAGGATTCAGCATCATCCAACAATGTATTATAGCTGCTGTTAAACAATTCATTGGTTAAAGGAAAATAGTGTTCGGTTGTTGTTGTTTTTCTTGCCTGTGTTTTATTGTTTGTTTTTTCTGTTCACCAAAGTACACCCTTGTATTATTTTTGTTTTACCTATTGGTCTTTTCACTGTGATAACTAATTTGTTTAATTTATGTTGAATAATACCTACCCTTTCGTATTGATATGATGTAAAGAAAAGTCAATTTTTGATTGTGTTACTCATTATGAGTTTTGTTCAAAATTACTTCCGTTTTGATTCAATGTAATGATTACCCAATGTAGTATTTGTTTACTTTTCTCGTATGATATTTTATTCTGTATACTATACGATATTCTTGTATTCCATTGACATGAACTATACTCAGTCTGTGATTTGTTATAACTCGAAGTATTTTTTATATATGTGATTTCCTCCCTAATTATTAATCAAAATGGGCGTGCAATCAATATATAAATGAGTGTATTTTTTTACTAGAATGGTCGTCGTCGTCAGTGTTTTGGGGTTAGTAAATCATCACTTATACCAGTCTTGTGTTCTTACTTTCGTGTTGTGGGAATTGCAGAAGTCCATCATTCCGAGTATAAGTGATAAGTGTTTCCGACATAACAATCAACGACGACCAGATACAAAAATTAGCATTAAAAGAGCCAAGACTATAAGCATTTAAACGACAAATTATAACAGTTATGTTTACCAAAGATGTATTTTTATTTCAAGTCTGTGATATTTTCATCAAAAAGGACAATTTTTCTAGATCATATTATACGATGAATAAATTCGAATAAAACTTGATGAAACTTCGACTAGTTTTTACAGGGTACGAACTAACCAGTGACTTCATTACATAAACTTCTAGCCAGGTTTACTTTTCATTTTATTTACAGACTGTCATAAAGTGTGTTAAAAGTCTACTTTTTTTGTTCTGCATATTTTTTGTCATATATTTTCTTTAATTTTCAAGAATAAACATACTTAGTTCATTATTCTATTATTTTTGTTTGATAAATACATGTATTTATCGTTTTCATATGATCAAATGATTTTTGTTGAATGTAGAACAAATCATTAGAATTCTTAACTTCAATGTAACATTAGTCTTATTCAATAAAATATAAACATTTGTAAGCAGAGTATTATAGATAAGTCTTTCGTTTTAAGGTCAGTATAACAATGTAATACTTCTTTTTTTAAATAGTATTCTATTCGAATTAACTAGTTAAATGGGAAGGGTCCAATATATTTATCCATTGTTATATTAGTTTACAATTTTGAAATGCTTCAGCGAGTATTCGCGAAATTTAATAGAACACAATAGGATGAAACGGCCGTTCAGTGCTTCCAACTTTTCCATGGTGGTCTAATTTCAATTGACTCATAATCTCAACTATTGAAATTACTACAATCTCCACAAAATCCGTTTTGATAATAGAATATTGGTTAAAATAATAAGTCGAAAGAAAAAACAACACTAAATTGTGCTAAATTTTTTTTATCATCATCATCATCAAAGTTATCAGTGTTAAGAAATATAAACTCATTATGTCACTTATTCACTATACAATATAAAAATCACATAATGATTGTCAATTAAATTTTACAGATTGAATGATATAAACGATGCATAGAATAAGAGTTTATTGTGATTTTGTTTTAAATATTTAACAATCAATTTCGCCAACAAAAAAGAGAGACGGGCATTATTTATAAATTTCTTTTTCAATGCAAAAATCATATTTGATATTTTGTCCTCTGTATGGCATAAAATAGATTAATTGAAAAAAATCATCCATAAAATTATTGAAAATAATTTTCATGAAAAAAACGAAGTCCAGCGGAGGGATCTCTTTTCAACGAATTTATTACCAAGCTGTACAATCGTGTATATATATGAAAATTTCTTTTTTGTAAAAGTACTAATTCCGTGAGGAAATGTAAACACGAATAACCAAGATGACGTAATAGAAAGATTATAATACTAGATTACGTAATACGAATAATAACCATAGACTTAGTGAATATAATAAGATGATTAAAATGTTTTTATTACAATAGTTAAAGGTCGTAGAGGTGTAAAAATAAATAAATAAGGTGATATGATGAGTATTTATGAATAAAATAATGAGAATATAATACATAAGTAAAGGGAAATACAGTAATAATAATTAAGGCCAAGGTAACGATAAGACGTAGTTCTTTTGTACGCACAGTTCTGGTTTAAGCTCATAGGTGGTAAGAGCTTCGACTATTTTTTTAAGAGTTGGATACGAAGAAATCTAGTTAGATTTGAACAGATCATAAAAACAAATTAAAAATCAAACTGTGAATCCGTAGAATGATTACAGTCGATTAGGTGTTCAAGTATAGAACTCCTAACTGCTTTTCTTTCACCCTTGTAGAACCAAACTGGGATATGTTCCCGTATCCGAGTTGAAAGCGAGTGCTGACTACGGCCAATGTACCTTGCTCCACAAGAGCAGGTGAACTGGTAGATGCACATGGAGGCGATCAGATGCGGAAGCTTATCTTCTATGGATACAGAAAATAAATTCTTACTAGTGAAGGTTATTCGCAGTTTAGCCGCATTAAATGTTCTTTTAATCGCTGTTGTTAGACGATTTTTGATTACGTCTGATGTCCGACCACCTTTAGATTCCAGACTTATATAATGGTTTTTCTTTGGGACGGAACAACTACGTTTCCTGTCGCAACTACTTCTATTCTTATTCTTCTCTATGGAACGGTATGGGTAGCCATTTTTCGTTAAGGTTTTCTTGAGGAATAAGGGTTCTCTTTAATTCATTCCGTACTGCATATCCAATGTATTCGATGACGTAAAGTTTGTCGCTTGTGACGATACTATTGATTTAGAGGATATCTTACACACCTTTAACTCATGCCACCCTTCTACAAACTTCACGTTAAAAAGGGAGCGAGGCCAATCAATCCCTTTTCTCGATTTACGTCTGATGAGAAGTAATGGTTTCTTAAAAAGATACGTCTTTAGAAAACAAACGTGGAATGGCCAGCTAACCAACTTCTATAGCTGGGTTCCGTTAAGTAGAAAGAGAAACTTTACTTATTCATGCAAAATGTTGCTTCAGGATTGGGTCGCATCGACACCCGAACTAGTAGTAGGGAGTGAAGTAGTTGAGCATGTCGATTGCTTCAATTATCTTGGAAGTCTCATCAGCCCTTGTGGTCTGGTGTGTGACGAAATCTCAGCACGGATACAGGAGGCTCGACTAGCTTTTGCCAACTTGCGTCATTTATGGCGTAGGCGAGATATCCATCTACCAACCAAAGGACGGGTTTACTGTGCAGCAGTTCGTTCCGTTCTTCTTTATGGCAGTGAAACATGGCCGGTAAGAGTAGAGGATATTCGTAGGTTACTAGTATTCGATAATAGATGTCTTCGGAACATTGCTCGTATATCCTGGGACCACCGAGTAACACAATTGTTAGGAAACGGGTACTAGGTAAGGATGGCAAATCAATTGATGAAGTAGTGAAACTTCATCAGTTGAGATGGCTGGGACACGTGTTACGTATGCCCAACCACCGGCTGCCCCGACGTGTGACGTCTTCTGGTGTAGGAGTAGGTTGGAAGAAAGCTAAGGGCGGCCAGACCAAGATATGGCACAAGTCCATGAAGTCACTGACAAGTGGACTGAGCCATGTTAGTAGGTGTAGACTACCTGGTTGGATTCCGCGAGACGATAGCAACCGAAGGTTAGAAACCTTGAATGACATGGCTCAAAATCGTTTGCGATGGCGCAGGTGCATCCACTCTTTGTGTTCTCCCGAATTCTAATCTTGTGAATTCTTCATGTCCTTTATTTTATTTCCAAATTTATTTCACTGGATTACACTCATTGAATAATATCTTCAAACCCTAATCTTTCGGATTACTTCTTATACTCTTACTACCTCTACCACTATGTGATTTGAATCGATAACTGCATCTCTGTGCTAGTGTGGTAATGGCAACTCGAACTGATGTACTTACGTACGGAGTCCCACGTTGTTACTGACTGACTGATTTAGTATAATATCAAAATACTATTTAGTTTTACATATGCTGTACAATATTGGCGTCACTTATTGAAAAACGTTAAGTTAGCTCTTAATTCGTGAATTAGGTGTCAACCCAACCTCCCTATAGTTATCACATCGGACTTAAGACCAAGTTCTGGCAATATCTGTAGTATTTGTCTAAGTACTACATAATTCTAGTAGCTATGACGTTTTTGAATTTTATTCAAGTGACGAGCTACCGACCTATTATTACTTTCAGCTGATTATAAACGTTGTTTCGATCCAGAATGTCGTACTACTTACTAATTAAGCTTTATGCCGCTTAGAGCCTATTGTGAACTATATTTACAATAAACACTATCGTGCTGTTTGTAAATATTTAGTAGTATAAAAAATACTATGTGACAACAAAATACTTTTTATTATTTCAATTTGAAACCGTTTAGATTATCCCGTCGTTAATCATTTTGACTGAAATTTGATTAATCATGGTTGACATATGGGCATCCTGTGCTGACTGCCTCTATACTAGCTATTATGGCACAAGATGATAGACAATAGATTGTATTTGGACGCCCATTTCATCCACTGCTAACCACATCCCATCTATTCTATAGTTTTATTATGTTGATAGGGCCTATAAAAATTATGTAAAAATACTTACAGCTTTTCTAAGTTTTGCTTAATAAATCTTTAGTTTTAAGCAAAAATAAAACGAATTCCCTGGGGCTTTGTTTCAAAAAAAATATTTTTCTTAACTGTACATAGACTTTATTTCTAATAGAAAAAAAAGAAAATTGAATGTAATTACTTACAAAGAAGGGATCATGTGAAATCATTTGAAAACAAAAAAGAGAAAACAGAAACAAAAGGAAGAGTAAAACAGTAAGTTTGTCTAGTTTCCAACAAATTTTGTTTATAATAAACAAAAAAAAATGAGACAATCTATTAAAAAATGGGGATGTAGAAGGAAAGGATGATATATATAAGCAAAAAGTCATGGATACGCGCATATAAAGTTACTGAAATCAATTATGATACTAAAATTTTGTTGATGTTTTCAAAGTTCTATAATAAAATAAATAAAGTCAAGAATGAGTGGGATCGGATAAAGATGTGAATAAACGTTAGTCTACAGGCTTATTTGTTTATTTAATGGATTCAACCATTAATTAAAACAAAGAAAATGAATATAAAGAAAGACTTGAAATTTAAATTATTTTTATAAGTTTAGTGTATGTAAATGAAAAGAATATCGTGAATATCTATTTAACAAACTGATAAACAAAAGAAAAAAAAAGCAACTGAAAAATTCTTTTATTTAATAAGAGATTCAACTTGTATTCACTGGAATATAAAATAGACGATCTGTTGTAGTTAAAGAGTTTGAATTATTATTATTCCTCCGATGATGATGTTCCTGAGTGTCAACAGTATAATGATGCTGTTGATGTGACTGTTGTAATTGATGCTCCTGATGAGGAAGATGAGGATAGTTATGTTGTTGATTGAAAGCTTCATCTTCATAATAACCACTAGTAGTATTATTACTATTATTACAATTATTTAATCTATTTATCATTTGACATGATGATGTTGATACTGAGGCAAGAAATGAATTATTATCAAGGCACATTGAATCTTTATGATGTTGAGATAAATTGAATTCAGATGATTTTTGTTGTTGTACAACATTATTACATTCAATTGTTGCAGATGATACTACGATACCTGATCTGGAAGAACATGAAGGTTCTAGTAATAATTCTCCTGATGTTGACAAAGAATTTGATGAAGTAACAGCAGACGCAGCTGCTGCTGCCGCCGCAACAGCGGCTATACTTGCTGCACGTATAATTTCAAGTGCTGGTTGACAATGTTGTCTTGGTCCAGATTCTGGATGATAAGTAAATGTTAAACCACTCGCATAGATAATACCATCTTGTCGGACCAAACTAATTGGCACCTGGGATAGATAGTAAATTGTACAGAAAAAAATAATATACATAATATAAAATTAGGTTGTTCATTCAAAAAAGATTGAAGAAATCTTACTTAACATAATCTGTAGAATGTTTCACTTTGTTACTATTTATTGT